CACTGCAAGCCCCTCTGTTTGGGTGTGATCTGAATGTCCAAGGCACTCAAGACTCACGCTAAAAAAAGTGAGAGAGCTGATGTCATGTCTACACTAGAAAGGTAGGCAGAACAAAATTGTAATTCATTTGTTTTAGGAAGCATCTAAAAGCAAATATTTCAAGGCCTTAAGCTGTTATATCCATCAGGGTGGAGCCCGAAAAGTGAAATAAGGTGCGCGTGTGTGTTTAACTGACTGATGCAATATGGTGATGCAATCTGCTGAAATAAGGCCAGAATAAAAGGGGTTTGGGGTTCTTCTTGAATGCCAGAAACAGTCCTGTGGGTATCTGAATGGGACATGAGTTGTAAAGTTTTAAATATCCGTCTGACACAAACAGTGATTCACGATTCGTGACCCTACAACATTTCTATAGCATAAATTATTCGATCAGGACTATTCCCTCTCTCTCCGTGTTTTCGATCTTAATCTTTAATCAACAAGTTTAAACGAACACAATTTAACAGGTTTGCTTCACTTAAATGTGTGGTTCTTCTCACGTAGCATCAATCGTATGCATACCATGTAATTTTCATGCATGAGTGATAACAGATTAGCTTGCACAAGTTGTCAATATTTTTAGTTTTCACAAGCACTGTTAAGGGGAGTATGGGTCACCATACTTGGCCACATGTCACGTCACTTTTGTCACTAATGATACACAAAAGTAATGTGATTATCATATTCAGCATGTCAAACTTCATAAACATTAACAATAAAAGTGAAACAAAAACTTTTCAATTACACACACACACATACAAAAAAACTAATAAGAGTGCATTTAGAGCTGCAATAAACCAGTCAGAAGTTTAAAGACATTTAAAAACTGATGAACTTTTTCCAGAAACTCAACATCAAAGACAAAACTAGTGATAATTTTGTTAGCTATTTTCAATTTTAGTCTTAGTCCCGTGTTAAATGTCCTTGTTAGTTTTTATCATATTTAGTCAACCTTATCCTATTTGGTTTTAGTCAAGTTTTAGTTGACTAAGGCCCGGTTTCATAGATTAGGCCATATTTCAATTAGGACATTTAAGTAATTTTTATAAACATGCCTTAGAAAAAAACATTACTGGTGTGCTTCTTAAGACAAAACAAAGGCACTGACATGTTTTAAGATCAGTCAGTGCAAGTTTCTTTCAGTTGAAACAGCTCAAGATTTACATTTTAGTCTAGGACTAGGCTTAAGCCTTGTCTGTGAAACCGGGGG